GAATGAAAGTTTTGTACTATTTTTTTGCATATCCTACAAAGCAAGTTTCGCTGTACAGGACTCAGCACATTGACAATTTGCGCTGCTCGTTACTGGCTGCCGCACTCACTACGACCCCCCCTCTCCTGGCGGCCAAATACGACCCCCTGTTGGGGATTCCCCAACCAACGATGTGCCCTTGTGTACATATTTTCAGCGGGTTTGGCGACTTAGGTAATTTAAAAATGAGCTCGGTGCCGAAGTTGCTGGAGTCCAAACGGCATTAGCCGACCACCGCCATGAATCCGGTGACTCTCCTCTTCTGATCTATATAGTACGCTTGAAACAGGAAAATCACAAAAAGTCAACCACCGCTCCTACAACGCCAAAACGTAAATACGACCCCCCCCTCCCAACAATGACCAAGTACGACCCCCCCCCCCTTTACAACGTCCGTGAAGCGAGAAAAATCAACTATCAAAATAAATTTTTCCCAGCCCAAATACGACCCCCTCCTATTGGGGATTCCCCAACAACGATGTACCCTGCTTCTAACGCTTTTTGTCAGCTTTTATCAACTGCAATCACTCTCTGCCACCTACCATTAACATGCCCGTCGCATCCCTATATTACTTCTTGGAGCGACGTCCCACTGATATTGGGACGGATGCCAGAAGCTCAGGGCCCTGTCGGCGGCAAGCCAAACAAGCGTGGAATCTCGCCTTTCAGTTCATCGTGAACAGCGAATTTTTCCTATTGGAGGCACAGCCAGTCCACGAAAACGGAAGTCAGACGAAGCAAAGTCGAAAGAATGAGGAGGGAGATGAGGGGGAGAGACTCTACAACTATGTGGTAGCGAGCGTTCATACAAATTTTATCGTCTAACGATAACAACCCGGTGAAGGCAAACTGTAAACTCAAAACTCACCTCCGAGAAAGGTTCTTGTCAAACGCGAAGTGAGCGGGTCGGCAGCTACAGTAGTGTGTCCAATTTCTTCGTTCAAAATGCACGGAAGTAGCGCTGTAGGGTAGTTGTTCCCGAGTGCCATTGCACAGTTTTCCTGCTTTGTCTTCAAGATGCAGCAATTGCGTCGCTACTAAGGTCCCGGACCACGCACACAGCAATAGAGAACAAGCAGAAAAGGGGATGCAGACAAGTAGCATGTTTAGCTCTGGTTAGGACCGTGCCTAGTCGTGCGGCTGCGCGACGGAGTATGGAGACGGCATTCGGGTATCATCTTCCCCAGATCTCCGTTTGCGTGCGTTTTTGACCGGAAAAAGCACACCACTGCAGTTGCAGACCCCTCACCCACACATGGTGATTGGACGATTTTTCCTAAAGGTTTTGCTTTATCCTAATTCTTTTTCTAAACTGTTTAAAAAAAAAGGAGAGCTCAGTGATTCCAAAGCCGCCTCACATGCAATCACTCTTTCCGGGATGGCAGATGCGCGACGTGGGGGCATTATGCCATTTTTTACTTTTTAAACCGGCATCGACGTGTCGACGCTACTTAGACACGGCCCTCCTCGGTAACGGCAGTTTTACCGATGAATGCTTGACGATCTTGCTGCAGCTTTCACAACGAGTTCAGCGAGTTCTCGCCGGAGTGAGACTTGAGAAAAGCGATATTCTGGACGATGAAAGTACAAAATGCCCCCCCCCGTCCCACTCGACCGCAGAACTCTTTTTTCCCTTCCCCTCTTCTTCTTTCAGAGTGTCATTTGACCAAAACAGCTCCTACTATTACAAATACAAGATCCGACTGAGGTGGGAAAGACCAGCGAACTTAACGCCACACTGGAGATTAGGCAATTAATCGATTCGAGGAAGCTTTGTTGGAGGATTTTGTAATCTTCGATCAGAAACACGACATGTTCACTATTAGAGATCGCCGTCTGGATCGCCTGAAAAAATGAAATATGAAGACTTGTCGTGAAATCTTTGAATAAAAACTCCCTCTTCAACCAATTCTGAGGATAACAGCATGGCCAACAAGTCGTCAGCATGCCGGAAGAGCATACAAGCGAGAAAGGCAGGCTGGGTACGGATTCCTTCGGTTGGCGATTATTTTGCGTCGGCTTACGTCGCTTTCTCGAAACTTACAAGTGGCGCTTGCGCCTATGTTTCACGACCTCTCCCTCCCCACCCATTCACCCCAGAAAGTGGTTTTGATGGAAAACTGGAAAGAAGTTTGAGAAAAGAAACTCGAAAGAAAAAAAAAGTGGGAGAAGCTCAGGAGGGCGCTAGGTAAGATGGAGGGTGGGGAACGGGAGAGGGTGTCGTGCAAGAAGAGGAAGTTTCGGGGGAGCGGACGTATTTTGGAAAAAATCGCTTACGCACAGCAAGGACGTGTCCTGATGATGATGCGACTGTACCATGGCATTTCCACTCGTCTGCGTCCTCTTACCGAAACAGTGTCCAGATCGTTTTGGGATGGGGCTCAACGCAGACATCCTTCTGCGACAAATTCGTAGCCGGACAGGAAAGTGCACAGTATACTGCTCTGACCGCTAAGAGCTGAGGCGGAAAGACACCTCCCGCTCGCAAGCCACCAATACCCCCCACCTCCCCCCCAAACCCCAAAACAACCTTTCCCCCTTCCTTCCCAAAAATTCCATTCTGCTGTGAATGAGAGCTTACATTTTTCAATTCCGAATCGAATTGTTTTTGTCCGTAATTAGGCGTAATCTTCGGTGTGAAGAGGGCCATTTGATGCATATTCGCAATGAGGCGGATCGCATCAGCGCGACCAAGACCAGGTCGACCGGCTAGCAGTAATGATCCACCTGAAGAACAAAAATCAATTGTAACATAGTTTTCACGACCATGCATGGGCGCGTGCGACTCAGTGCGGGGCGGATCTCATAAACAGAACAGTATTTCTTAGTTACTTGTAATAAAAATTAACTAACTTACATACACTTACACTTACTTACAGTCTGCCCAAATTATGAATGTTCTCACTAACCTGCAAATTCCTATTCAAAAAAAACAGTAAAAAAGAAGGAATACCCGGTGCAGTCAAGGCGCGGTCCACTCTGGCGCAAAGCTCGCACATCTCATCAGTCAACGCATTCGAAAAGTTGGCCACCTCGAACTCTGTAAAAACAAGAAGGCACATTAACTATGTGATTTCTATGTGTATGTCAACTATGTCTTTCCACGATGAAAACGAGTCGATTGCCATTTGGAACGTATTGAGCGTGCATTAAGGTCACGTCGCAAGTCCAACGAAACTGGGGTCCAGGTGGTTGTGGTGGGGGAACGTCTATACCACGTCATGCCATACTTTCTTTTCACATCCTCTAAAGCATTAGTGACGGAGTGGTTATGTACCACTTTCGTCGTGTGAAATAGACCAGGCAAGCATGCATGACATGATATGGTTGCGCCACACCGTGCCCCCCCCCCCCCTCACGCCCGACCCTCTTCTTTTTGTTCTCAAAGCTTCTCAAAGTGGGGTCAAAGTCGCAGTTCGTAAAAGCTGCTAGATCGGCACCACTTGCGCCAAAGAGTTCTGTGGGCCCACAACATGCAAGGCATAAAGCTTATCTTTTACGCATGGCCCACTTCTAAAGTGGAGTGCAGCAATAGCTGCGGGTTGTTCTACGTGTGCCGTTGCCGCGGCGGCCTTTTTGTCCCCGCAGCATGTCGGGAACAAGCCACCCCCTGACAAAGCTTCACCACCCGTTTGAAGCGGTGTGCCATCAGCTCCGAGCTATTCTCTTACACCTCAGTGCTGGTAAGCGAGTCCCGTGAATGCGTGCATAGCAGACATATG